GAACTAACTGATTCAATGGAGTGGATCCCACCTTTCAAAGGGGATGAAAGTGAAGTTTAATCTGAATCATTTCTAAGTTTCTTAGTTATCTTCTGAATCATTAGTCTTTGCAAATGTAATGAAATTTCACATTTTGCATAATTACAATTTCACATTTTTATATTCCTTATATTATATTTTTATTCCTTATATTCTCATATTCTTGTATTTTTACATAATCACCTTTTCTTCAAGTACTGCTGAAGTTACATGAAATGTTTATATTCTCATGATGTTGTGTTAGTATAATATGCTAAAAGGGAGTAATGTAATGGGAATTTCTTGAGAACCATCTTTAAAACACTGCACATTACTCCCTTACCGGTTACCCTATCTGCAAACACATCTACCTCACAACAGGGTGTGCTGTGATGCCGATGTGCTAGTAGATAGGATTAAACTGCTTTGTGTTGCATAGGTATATAGAGACTAAACAGCGTTAAAGCCATCTCATGATATCAGGTTGATTTGCCACATAAAAGCTATTTGATGGAAACTAACAGCAGACTGGCGTTCTTGTTTGTTGTGTGTCACACCTAAATTGGTTCCCGCTGTACTGCCCTACAAAGGCTAAGTGCTGTAACTACACAAACACTGAAACTGAGAAAAATGCCTTTAAAGTTTTGAAACTAGCCAAACATGTTGTGGTTAGATCAGTGATAATGCATAGTACCTTCTTAGGAAGAGATTTTTTATAGATAAAAACCAGGACCACTGATATGCCCTTTGACACATGACTCAAAAAGCAGATACTGCACTCTACTTTTGGATGTCCTTAACCAACTAGAAAAGTATTGCTAAGGCAAAGTGCAGTATCTACAAACTAAATGTGTTCATTCAACTTTCTTGTTTTGTTTCTTACTACATGTTGATTGTTTTTAATAGCTGTAAAAGTTTTATTCATGTTTGCAAGTTGTTAATGTTGAAATTGCTCAGTAGTAAGCCCCAAAATTAAGTTGTCTTTTATCACAATGGCCCTTTACCACAAAGAATAAATGTTGATGTGTTAGTTTGCATTAGAATTTTCAATTTAATTTTTTTTTTTATTTTATAAAAAACAGGGTTATTTTTTAAACAGTAGTTAAAAATTCATGCATTTCAAACAATATGAAAATGGAAGTGTGTGTGTGTGTGTGTGTGTGTGTGTGTGTGAACGCTGGTCCACTTTCCTGAGGAGGCACAGCTAATTTTAGCAAACGTTCACTGGCCCAACGTAACTTTACCGGAGCCAGATAGCATCTGAAGGAGTAACCTCTGTTGGAATAGCTGCTTGAAATGTGAAGAGATGTCTGAACTGGATCGGTTCGCAGCAGAGTGTGAAGCGGTTGGGATGAGGATTAGCACCTCTAAATCTGTGGCCATAGTTCTCAACAGGAAACTCCAGGTAGGGAATGAGTCCTTACCCCAAGTGAAGGACTTCAAGTACCTGCCGGAGAATCGGAGCAGCGGGGGCGGTATTGCACTCGCTTTACCGCACCGTTGTGACGAAAAGAGAGCTGAGCGGTAAGGCAAAGCTCTCGATGTACCGGTCAAATTTCGTTCTTACCCTCACCTATGGTCATGAAGGCTGCGTCATAACCGAAAGAACGAGATCGCGGGTACAAGCGGCCGGGTTTCCTCAGGCAGGTGACTGGTGTCTCCCTTAGAGATAGGGTGCATAGGGATAGGGAAGCTCGGCCATCCACGAGGAGCTCAGAGTAGAGCCACTGCTCCTTTGTGTTGAAAGGAGCCAGTTGAGGTGGTTTGGGCATCTGGTAAGGATGCCTCCTGGATGCCTCCCTTGGGAGGTGTTCCAGGCACGTCCAGCTGGAAGGTGGCCTTGGGGAAGACCCAGGACTAGGTGGAGAGATTATATATCCACATTGGCCTGGGAACGCCTCGGGATCATCCAGTCAGAGCTGGTTAATATAGTTCGGGAAAGAGAAGTTTGGGGTCCCCTGCTGGAGCTGCTGCCCCTGCGACCCGACCCCGGATAAGTGGATCAAGATGGATGGATGGATGGATGGATGTCCGAAAACAAAAAACATCAACGCGATTATAAATCATATTATGATTGAGAGAGTCAGAGTAAAAGCCTTCAAGGGAGCAGGTAGGATAAAATGTTTGTCTGATTTGCAAGTGGCCAACTTGCCAACTTAGTTAGCTACTGTTAACTGATTATAAAGCTGTCATTTGCCTTGTTAATGTTAGATGTTTACATTTTGCTATCCTCCTTACTACCCTTTGGATATTTGTGTTTTAATGCAAGTTCAACAATAATTTTACATTAGCTGTTTGGCTTGTTGGTTGTGTGTGAGGGAGCCTTACGATCGATGCAAACAGTATTACAGTCGGGATTAGGCTGCCAAGGCAGACCGCCGTATCTGCGGTGTCAAATCCGGGAAAACAAACAAAGCCAGTCTAAGCGCAGTAACATCACTTACTGCGGTTTGCCTTGGTATTAGCTTGGGTTTTGTAGTTACTGCAATTTTGACACTGTCTCTGAAACGGGGCAAAATTAAAGTAGGAGACAGAACAGATGTTTTGACATAGCGATCCAGCTTTGTGGAACCAGCACTGTAGAAAAAGTGTTTCCGTTTCTGTTACTACCAACATCCACGGCTCATGTCATCTACCGGTCCTCTTGGCAGGTGAGCCAAAACTTTAATTTCCACCCCTGGGTGGAAGGTAAGACAACCTGCATGTTTTTACAATTATTATTTGTTTAGATTGTATAGCCCATTTACTTTTCTGCACACCGTTGCGAGGAGCAGCAGCATGACTCGGGTGGTCAAAAATGCCTTTTTACTCTGGTAGTTCTAATACTTATAGCTAACAATTTGTGATATGCTTCAAGTGATATCTATACATGTTTGTGTAGGCAAGTCAAGTGTTGATTTGAGGCTAAATTGATTGTCATCTCACTGTCGGCCAACTAGGCCGCCTGGTCGTCAATTTAAAAAACCAAAACATTCATTTTAAAAACAACAAAACAAACTCTGTTCACATATATGAAAGTATTTAATAAACCAGCTAAACACATGTCAGAGTAAATATCCTACATGCTAGATGTAACCATAGACTGCATAAAGGATGTAAGACAGTACTGGAGTAAAAGAATGGGGACATGATGAGTCACTCTGTCGACCTGTTGGCTGCAGAGTAACTCTGCTGACATCTGGTGCTTTAAACTAACTCACACATTCAGAGAATCAACCTGACTTCCTGGAAATAACACATGGTAACATTAAGTAACATGATTTAAAATTCTCTGATTTGTGTTATTTATTGTGTTTTCAGTTACAGGGTAGGATTTTCTGTTTTGTCCAAGCCTGTAAAGATACCGAGTAAATTACTTTGTTGTTCTTACATATGCTTAATATCTGAACATGAAAGCTTCACACATGTTCTTTTTACAAAAGCAGTGCTCAGATATATTTCATCAGGGAAACATGTCAGTAAGACTCAAATAAAAGTACTTATTGCCGTGAAAGGCTCTTTTAACATTTGATGTTAAGTTTGAAGGTGATGCCTGATGTGTTTTTCTTTATCTCATCATGAAAGTGAAATCTATAAATGTGGTGCAGTAAAGTAAGCCTATGAAGTCCTTCAAAATAATTTAATCTTCCCGAAGGGCTGTATCCTGTTAACTGTCTGCACTGTGAGAGAGTGGTGGGCCTACTCATTTATCACAAATACTAACAGTACAGTAACAAGTTAGGCAGGGGTGGAAGTAACAAGTTAAATTTACTCTTATCACTGTAACAAAGTTGAGTTGAGTTTGAGTATATTTAAATATTAGTCATTTTACTTTTACTTAAAGGTCCAGTGTCCCTAATCAAACTATAACCACAGAGGTTTGACATCAGAAAACGTTTTTATTTGTGAAACAGTTGTTGAATTGTTGAATCTTAACCAATAAACTAAATACTCTAAATGACCTGTAACCTTTAACATATAAATATACTAACATTATACATTAGAATGTTATAACATTTCCTTACACACTCATTAACACTAGTTACTCCTCCAGGTTGGATAGTATCGAGGTGGGGGGTACCAGCCGACACACGGCTATATGTGAATGGGAAGTACCGGCACCTATTATTTTTTACTTCAAGCACTGTTTTCAACATTACTGTTGTTGTTCTGTAGAGCACAGTGAAGTGTGCTTAGCTGTCACAACCCACAGTGGATAAATCTTATTTTCTGTTAGATATTTGCATCACATTAAACCAGTTCTCATGTTACTGTGTCCACCTTCCGTAGCCCTTTTATATCATTACTCATCAGTAATATTGTAGTTTATATATTTTTGTTGTCAATCTTTATTTGCATGTAATGCACTAGTTCAGCTTTCTTGGAAATCACCTGACAATCCCTGCTCCCTCAATTGGGCAGGACAACAGCTACAAAGCAGGAAGAAGATCTGGTTTCTGATTTGCTGCTGCAACTCTGCTGTGAAGGCGTCAAGGTAAGAGAATCGTGTGTGTGTGTGTGTGTGTGTGTGTGTATGTGCACACGCTCATGTGCGTGTATGACTCACATACAAACAACAGTATAAAATCTGGAGGCCATAAAAAAACAAATGTGACAATAGACCTCTCAACATACAATTTGTTTTAAGATTTGTATCGTTTGTATTGACATTTTATCTGTTGTGTTTATCTACAGCTGCTGTAAAAAGTACATTTCCCCAGTGTGGGATGAAGTCTATCTTATCTTAAATATTTGAGCATTCTTTCAGTCCCTGGGTTTGGTTGCCAGATGATTTCTTATTTTTATGTCCTTTTACCAGTAATGTTTTATATATATGTATAAGCAACACTTTATAGCAGTGTTCATGTTATTGTGTCCAACTTCTGTGGCCCTCTCTCAATAAACAAATGTCTGACTCAACCTGACATTTCACTGTTGAGAGATTACCACTCTTGATTTCTATATGGGCGGTGTGTTGTGAAGAAAAGCTAAAGAGCAGTTTAGTTTCAGTTTAACCAGCTGCTGCACCTCAGTCTGTAATGGCTGCTTTAACATCAGCTCCACTTGTGGTTTTGTTCGCATGTTCATGGATCTTTGTTCTGTGTCAAGGTAAGAGTGTGTGTGTGTGTGTGTGTGTGTGTGTGTGTGTGTGTGTGTGTGTACGCCAGTATAAACTTTTGTTTTCCTCTATATATACACAACAGCATAAAACCTAGATATCAGAAGATGATCCAGACAGGACAGAGTTACGGGTGAAGGCAGCACAGACAGACAGCAGCAAACTGGAAACTGCTGAGTTTTAACTTTCAACTCTGACTTTATCCCAGTGAATTCACTGAATAATGTATTATTACAAATTAAAATATGTACATTTACAATCTCATTACATAATTTCCAGTTTGACATTTTGATAGGTTGATAGCAGATTTGATTAAATTTGGTTAAAAACTAAATTTAATTATAGGTTGAATTCAGTGAGAGCATAAGAAAACAGCATAAAACAAAAAGTCAAAGTTATCAGTTAAGTAAATTTACAGAACATAATTCACGTGTTATCAGGAAGTTGATCCCACAAAGAGAGCGTTAAAAGAAATGTCATAGGAAATGCTTCAGCTTGATTTTAATGTAAGGGTTTAAATTTTGACAAACTAACTTACTGTGGCTATAAATATAAACATGTATGTTGTAATTGTGTAACAAAATATTAAAATGTTGTTTTGAAATTTTATAAAACCTTTTAATTAACATATTATTGTCCTGCTCAAATTACTAAACCTGGTGTGGTAATTTCAGACAGCATGTTTCAGGTAAAAAGGTTCAAATGAAATGCACCACTAATGTGGATTCATATAACCTGATGCAAAGAGGGAACTCACATATCTGTCGACACAGAACCGCAGAGACGTAGCCTACAGGCAACTTTTAGGCAAGTTTATTTGTATTGCACAATCTAACAACAAGGTAATTCAAAGTGCTTTACATAAAACATAAAGCAACAGGGAAATATGTCAAAGTTTAAAAGCAACATAAATATATAAAAGTTACAGTGTTACAATCAGGGTTAAAAGAGTTAAATGGAAAATAATAAAAAGCTAAAAACAAAGACAAAGAAACAGGACAGTAAAAGTTAGAGTGCAGTGTAAGTAAAAAGAAAAATCATAAATATTTAATTAAAAGCTGTGGTAAAAAGAAAAGTCTTCAGTCTTAATTTAAAAGAACTTACTGTTTCAGCAGACCTGCAGTTATCTGGGAGTTTGTTCCAGATATACGGAGCATAAAACTGAACGCTGCTTCTCCTTGTTTAGTTTTGACTCTGGGGACAGAAAGCAGACCTGCCCCAGACGACCTGAGAGGTCTGGATGGTTCGTAACGAAGCAGAAGATTGGAAATGTATTTTGGCCCTAAACCATTTAGTGCTTCAAGAGACAGAAAATCAACTTCAAAAAGAAACCCCTGAAGCTAAATCCTCAGGTCCAGGAACCAAATCAAGCAGTTGACGTCTTCATATAAGGAGCCCTGCAAAATCAACAAACCATCCAAAATCCAACACCCTCAGTAAACGATTTATTACAGGCACACTCTTTTAATACATATATTTTAAAAAGGGAACTATTTCTTCATAATCATTTATTTATTCCTAAACATTTATATATCCTATTATTTTAAACAAGACATTGGACCCATGCCTCCCAGGTGTCCCCCAGCATCTTCTCCTGAGCCCTGAGCTATCTCTCCAATCCCATGAATAAACTAACAAATCTCAGAAATAAAAACAGATGTGACAATAGACCTCATAATTGTTTAAGATTTATAGTACTGAAGTTTTTTTAAAACTTCATTAACTAATTACCTTTTTATTATGATGATTTATAGATTCACCTTCTGTTGATCATTAGGAGAGAAATGTGTGAAACTTCCTGTATCACCTTCATTTACTGATTTAAGAACTGTAGTTTCAATTCAATATGTACAGCATTTACTCGTGATATCTTATTATAATAATTACTTTTATTATTTGATAATGAATTTTCATGTAAAAAAATCTGCTGGTTGTCACATGTGAAGATTTGCTGCTTTTCATTTGTTTGTTAATAAAGTTGAGGTTTGGACACAACAAGCATTGTGAAGGTGTCACTTTGAGCTCTGAGTAACTGTGACAGCATTTCTCACTGTTAACAGAATCTTTACAAACAATCAATCAATTAATGGAGAAAATAATCAGCAGATTGATCCAGAATGAAAATAATCATCAGCTGCAGTCTGATAGTTTAAAATGAGCTCCAGCTCAACAACTACAGCAGTAAAATGCTGCTTTATATTAATGTGTGAGGAAAAATAATCTGATGGTAGAATATTTAATAGTACAACAGTCACAGGGACATTAAAGTACATTTTCCTGATTGTACTCACATACTTTTACTTCAGTAATTTTTTCAATGCAGGACTTCTATTTGTAGCTAAATATTTTACAATGTAGTACTTTTACTGTAGTTTCTGTATACTTGATCCACAACTGCTTTTCTCAGTCTTTAACAAAAGGAAACTAATGATCTGTGATGTGTCTGTTTCTGACAGCGTCCACTGTTGGCAGATATTTCTGTATCTTTGACTTTAAACACAATATAAAACTAAAGTCCTGCTATCAAAATGTTACTTGAGTCAAAGTACACAATTACTAGCTAATTTTACATGATGTTGGCAGGTAAATCTGTATCAGTGTGTTGTATGTACAATCTTGGGGTGGTGATGGTGCAATGGATAAGATGTTGCCTTTGGTGTGAGAGACCTGGGTTCAATCCCCACTGTGACCCTGAGCAAGACACTTAACCCCTAGTTGCTCCAGAGGCGTGCGACCTCGGACATTTATAGCAATTGTAAGTCGCTTTGGATAAAAGTATCATTTAAATATGTCTTAATCTGCAGGGTAACCTGTGAGCAATCTGTCAGCTACATGTTTTCATTTCACATGTTTACAATGAAGGAACGATCAGAGCTGTTGATCCTGTTAATGCTGCTCTGATTGAGCTGGAATTAAAAGCAGCTCAGCCGAAACTCACCTGAGCTTCCAGGCAGCCGTCCAGCTTTCAGGTTGGACAGCGAGCATTATGTCCTCATTTAAAACCAGGAAGCTGACAGTCCAGTCTGACTCTTTATATTATAACAGACAGACTTTATATCAGTTATGTGTTGACTTTTGAACAGCTTCCTGCCTTTAGAGCAGAGATAACCAAGAGTCAATAAACCGGATAAAAACAAGATCATCAAATTTCTTTAAGCGTAACTCTGGAGCTGAGAAACAAAAGCGAAAGCTGATGGCTCTGAATGTCTGTCTGGGCAAGTCCCTGTGATTAGAGAACAAAATGTTGGGACATTTAGAGGGCAGAGTTTGGCATGAAGCAGCTCTGAGCTCATTTTAACTTCACCATCCCCCACACGTCAGTCTGAGTCAGGATGTGGGTTCAGTTCTTCCTCCTTACTGTTGGCTGGCAGAAACATGAGAACATCATGTGTGTCTGAAGACACAGTTTTGTAGTTTCCCTCTGTGACACATCCACCATTGTGTCCTGTGGTGTATAATATATGTGCATTTCACGCATAACAGTTTAAAATAGCACTGTAGCAGCAGGACAGAAGAGCAGTGATTGGTGGTTATGTAGGGACCGAACCCTTCTATAGAATTTGACCTCTAACCCCTTGTTTTGATGTCCTATATAAGCTGTGTTTGATGTACGGAAAGACAGAGTGGTCATCGTGCTGGGTCTCTCTCCAAGCTGCTGCAGAGCTTGTAATTAATGCTGAACTCCTTGATGTAATAAACTTTTATGATCAAGAACAGTGTCAAGCGGGTTTCTTCTCAACACATTATTGCAGCATTATTGTTCGGACACCACAGTCATTAAGCAACATACTTAACCCCCAGTTGCTCCAGATGATAAATAATATGATAAAAACAGACGTGGGCCACTTTAGGTAAAGTATAACTTGAATAAGTAAACTCCTCTTCTTTACCAAGTTGGTCAGTAAGGAATCTTGTTTAAATTGTTGTTGACAACAACAAACTGTTTGTCATGTGAAAGCACCACTCGTAATCGTTGCCCAGCACTACTTTGTATGTTTTATTTGAATGTCAGTATGTCTGACACACACAGTATTGATTATTTGTTTTATTATTTAATGGTAGTGTAAGACCTGGAGGCTTCTCTGTGGGCCCTCCCTTGAGGCCTCCAGGAGAGCCACATGTCTGACACCACTGTGACGATGCAAGACAAACACAAACACACGCTAATATTCAGATGCACATTTCACCTATTTCACATTTCACATATTGCATTCCACCCACATTTATGTTACAACTGACAACCAGACTATGAGGTGAATTATAACATTTTACTTCTTGTGTTTGAGTCTAAATGCATTTTCTGTCTGTGTTGCAGAGAAAACACATCATTTATTAGCAAACACGTGACAAATTTGTGTCACATTTTGAAGGCTGTGGCTTAAAAGAGCTCCAAGGTACAGACAGAAACGTCAAAAATGTTTCAACTCATAATGCAAACTACATATTTTTTCTCAAATCACTCCCAACATTTTTAACATGACTTTTGTTGTTTTTAGAGCACATTAAAGTTTGCTTTGCAGTAAAAACTGTCATAATAATATAACATAATTCCTCTTTTCTGTTGGAAGTTTGCATCACATTATAGTGTTCATGTTATTATGTGCACATTCTGTAGCACTTTAATGTCATTAGTCATCAAACAATCTTGTAGTTTATATATTTTTGTTGTTGTTTTGGCCTATATGTGTGTAATGCAGTAAACAGTTCAGCTTTCTTTGAAATCACGTGACACATTTCCTCATCGCTTGTTTGGGCGGGTCTACTGTAAAAACAAAAAACTATACAACAGGAAGAAGAACCCAGTCTGCGCTCTGCTGCCATGGTCGCTTTAACATCAGCGCCATTCGTGGCTTTGTTCACTTGTTCATGGATCTTTGTTCTGTGTCAAGGTAAGAGGAGTGTGTGTGTGTTGGACTGTGGCGATTCATTGACGTCAACGACATCGATTATGAAAATACGTTGATTTGCATAACTTGGCCTGGACAACAAGCCGCCATCTTTGGCATTACGGACTTTGCCCATAGAGCCGTATGTGAGCAGGAAGTGATTGAGTGGCGTGTCTGCTCTGTAAAACGTCTCTGATATTACACAGAGGTGAAATAAATTCATGTCAGAAACATTTAAAGTTTAAATAAAGTTCTGACGGTCTGTTATTATTATTATTATTATTACTAATATTGTAACACAGCAGTGATGCGGAAGTTAGACTACAGTGGGGGAAATAAGTATTTCGGCAGGGATGTTGGCCCACTCCTCCCTGCAGACAGCCTCCAAATCATTCAGGTTCCGAGGTTGTCGCCTGGCAACTCGAATTTTAAGCTCCCTCCAAAGATTTTCAATTGGATTCAGGTCTGGAGACTGGCTAGGCCACTCCAGAACCTTGATGTGCTTCTTCTTCAGCCACTCTTTTGTTGCTTTGGCGGTGTGCTTAGGGTCGTTGTCGTGCTGAAACACCCATCCTCGACCCATCTTCAGCTCTCTCACTGAGGGAAGGAAATGTTGGTCCAGAATTCCACGATACATGGCCCGTCCATCCTCCCCTCAATACGATGGAGTTGTCCCGTCCCCTTGGCTGAAAAGCACCCCCAAAGCATGATGTTGCCACCACCATGCTTGACGGTGGGGATGGTGTTCTTTGGGTTGTACTCGGTGTTCTTTGCCCTCCAAACACGACGAGTTGAGTTGAGGCCAAAAAGTTCTATTTTGGTCTCATCTGACAACATCACCTTCTTCCAGGCCTCTTCTGAGTCGTCCAGGTGGTGAATGGCGAACTTCATGCGGGCCTGTACATGTTTCTTCTTGAGCAGGGGGACCTTGCGTGCGCTGCAGGATTTCAATCCATGACGGCGTAGTGTGTTACCAACCGTTTCTTTTGTAACTGTGGTCCCAGCTGCCTTCAGTTGATTCATCAGTTCCCCCCTTGTGGTTTTGGGATGATTCCTCCCGTTCGCATGATCAGGGACACCCCACGAGGCGAGATCTTGTGTGGAGACCCAGACGGAGGGAGGTTGGCGGTGGTGTGGTGCTTCTTCCATTTCCTGATAACTGCACCGACAGTTGATCTTTTCTCTCCAAGTTGCTTTCTGATTCTCTTGTAGCCCATCCCAGCCTTGTGCAGATCAACAATCTTGTCCCTGATGTCCGTAGAAAGCTCTTTGGTCTTGCCCATGGTGGTGATGTTGGATGCTGGTTGTTTGGGTGTTGACAGGTGTCTTTTATACAGGTAACGAGGTGAGGCAGGTGTATTTGATGTAGATAATTGGTTGGGATTGGGGCTGTGTCTTAAAGAAAGAATAACTGGCTTGTAGGAGCCAGAATACTTGCTGTTTGGTAGGGGGTCAAATACTTGTTTTTCCTCATCAGATGGTTATCAATTTTTATAAATTCATATGATGTGATTTTCTGGAATTTTCTTTGGGATTCTGTCTTTCACTGTTAGAATGTACATATGATTAAAATTGTAGATTGTTGCATTCTTTGTAAGTGGGCAAACCTGCAAAATCAGCAAGGGGTCAAATACTTTTTTCCCCCACTGTATGTGAGAAGTAGATCAGCAGGAAGTTGATGGATAAATTATCTTTGATTATGTTGATTTATAGATTTATCTTCTGCTGAATGATCATTAGGAGAGAGATGTGTGGAACTTATAAACTTATTTACTTACAACTGTTAATTAATTATATGTAGGGGGGATAAATAAAGTTATTTGAATTGAATTGAAACTTCCTGTATCACCTTCATTTACTGACTTAAGAACTTTCTTAAAAACTGTAGTCTGAACTGTTTATACAGCAATTACTCCTGAAAACTCTCTGTTGTTGTAACTCATATTTTCAATTCTATTTACAACATATTCATTATAATTTATATTCAAATATAGTTTTTTGTAGACTTTGACTCTGCAGGCTGCTGGATATGTTTGTAAAGTTTATTATGAGCTGACTTGTGAACAGAGTCTCCACCTCTGACCTCTGTTCCTGTCCAGCACTGTAGTTTACTGTGTGGACGGATGGACAGCAGAGACCAACGTGTGTCCTCTCCCCTCTCGTGGTGTCTGTCCATGCAGATCCAGCAGCTTCATTTGTCTCTCTGAGAAGTAAAGCAGTTTCATACTGTAGGGACTCTTTCCTCAGTAGAAGTAGTTCAGACACAGTCTGAGTAGAGGACGGACAGACTGGGGACACATTTGGAAAACAAGGACAAAGATTCAAAGCTTCTAGGAAATAATAAACTTCACATGTTTAATATTTCAGCTGTTTGTTCAGGCTCAGAAATGCTGATGTCTGTATTCAGATGGGAAATAATATCAATAATCAATAATCTCCAAACAAGCAGAAAGCAGATGAAAGTAAAATGTCTCCTGTCTGATGGTGCGGAGGACGACTTGACTGACAGCTGTAGAAATGAGCAACATGAAGTCAGCGTGCAGCTGCAGCAGAGGAGTTAGTCTCTCCTTTCTGCAGCTGGGACTCAAGTTGTCTGAGAACAGGGTTTGAAATGCTGCTGAGTTCACATGTGCTGTTTTATAGAGACCTGATCTCTGCTGCTTCCATCAAAAGATGTTTGAACAACAGGAAACATTACAAGTCCTGACTGGAGGCTTTTCTCTTTCTGTTCAGGGACACAGGAGCTGAAGGAGACAGTGAAGCCTGGAGAGACGCCACTCTTCAGTGTCGGGGTCACAGAGGTGTAACATCACAGTGATAAAGTGGATCAGAACTGACCTGAAGTCAGATGATGGTTATGTCTTCTTCTTCAGAGACGGCCGCTCATATGAAATCTACCAGCATGAATCTTTTGTGGTCGAGTGGAGCTGAGAGATCTGAAGGACGGAGACGCTTCTGTGATTCTGAAGAACGTCAACATCAACGACACTGGAACATATGAGTGTTGGTTAGACAGGAAAATGCATCTGAACTCACCGGCATCGTCAGGCTGACAGTGACAGATCCAGGTGAGTGTGTAGAGCTCAGAGTGTCTCTTTGTCTCTCAGGTGAGCGTGTAGAGCTCAGAGTGTCTCTTTGTCTCTCAGGTGAGCGTGTAGAGCTCAGAGTGTCTCTTTGTCTCTCAGGTGAGTGTGTAGAGCTCAGAGAGTCTCTTTGTCTCTCAGGTCAGAGTGTAGAGCTCAGAGTGTCTCTTTGTCTCTCAGGTGAGCGTGTAGAGCTCAGAGTGTCTCTTTGTCTCTCAGGTGAAGCTGCTTCCTGGTAGTTGAGCTGAGAAACATCACAGATCAGATGTTTGTGTTTTAGAAAGATGTTGCTGATGAGACTTTAGAGGAAACAGCTGCTACGAGTCATGTGATCAAAGTGCAGTAGATAATGTCTGACATTCTGTTCACCTGCTGACAGCTGATACCTCACACCTGTTTCTGCTCTGCAGGTCACACAGCTGGACACAAGGAGGGAGGAGACAAGGAGGGAGGAGACAAGGAGGGAGGAACAAGGAGGAAGGAGACGGGGAGAGAAATGTTCGACTGAAAGCCGGTCTGTCAGTTGGTGGGATTCTTCTTGTTGGTGGTGTTGTTGTTGTTTTAGAAAGAAGATCTTAACAAAATATAGAGAATGCAAAGACAATAACTCAGACCAACCTGCTGCTCCTGAAAATGTGCCGATGCAGGAAGCAGAGCCAGCAGATGAGAATTAGTGAGTAAATGTGTCTCATGTGTCTCCCATGAAATAAATCCAGAAGTATCTAAAAGCTGGAGGTAGATGTGACTGACTGTAGCTGGATCATCAGCTGTGACTGTTTTCCAGCTGCAGTCAGATCATCAACATGTTTTTAAATGATTTCAAGTCTTTTTATGAATTCTGTTGTAGAGACGTGTGATGAAGAGAGGATCCAGACTGAAGTCACTCTGGTTACTGTGGGGAGCAGTGATTGGTCGTTACTCTCTGGCTGCTGATTGGTGGACTGAACGTGCTGCTGGACAGAAGAAACACATTCCTCCTGTAAAATAAACCTGAGCTGTTGACACACGTCTGATTTCACCTGGAGGCAGGTTAATGCCAGATGGGCTGACTGACCAGCAGCTCTGTGGGACAAACAATATGACCTGATGCTGGAACAGCCAGCTGATTGTTATTACAGGAAGTGGTACAGACCGTCGGCACCTCCCCCCACCCCTTCAAGTGGATCCATCCATCCAGGTAGAGTCAGAGGTCAAATCAAATTAAACGGGTAAAGGACCAAAAGAGAGAAAAGTTCAGAGAGAAAAAGAATCATAATCTCAGGTCTGAAGCTGCAAAATGTTTTAAATCAACAGTTACTGATGTCAGTGCTGCTCAACATCCTGCTAGCTGCAGTTATAACACTAACAGTCTGTTCTGGATGACGGAGCTGGACTTTGTTCCCAGTCCGACCCTGAAGAGCTCAGTCCCTGTTGTTCACTCACCGACCTGCATCAGAGGGGAAAAGATCCTGTTTGGATTCACTGCAGCTCTGTTTTCCTGCATGAGGACATTTTTCATCGTCTTCTCTGAGAGCTGCTCAGGAACTCTGACTGTGAAATGTTCTTAGACAACGATACAGATAATCTGGACTGAAGTGGACTCATGCTGCTGTGTGGATTGTGTGTGTGTTTTCTGGACACTTTGTTGTAACATCTTCGTGTTATATTTTCATTAACTTTGAGTATTTGGGAGAGTAAAACAGCACAACGGTCTGGTAATCCACATGTTTATTATTACATTGACTTCAGCTGTTGATGTTTTCTGATCTGTTAGAAAGAGACTCTGACAGACAGCAGAGTTCACACAGCCACATATTCCTTCTTTAACATTCAGCTGCAGGCTCAGACTCCCAAAACTCAGCTCACTTTTATGCAAAGTTTGAGATGAAATTATTAGTCGATTAACTGATTACACAATGTACAGACACATCTAATGTGAACTATTTTGTTTGATACATGTAAGTATTTGCTGCTTTTGGTTGGAATGAATTTAATTTTTGTTAATAATTATAGAGAATTGGACAAATAAGCATTGTGAAGAGGAAATGTGTGAGGAAAAATAATCTGATGATAGAATATTTAAGAGTACAACAGTCACAGGGACATTTTACTGCTTAAATCTGCTTCAAGTAGATTTTCCTGATTGTACTCTCATACTTTTACTTCAGTAACTTCTTAAATGCAGGACTTTTATTTGAAGCAGAGTATTTTTTCAGTTTAATACTTTTACTTTAGTTTTTGTATACTAGATCCACAACTGCTTTTCTCAGTCTTAACAAAAGGAAACTAATGATCTTGGTTATTTCTCCTGTAAACAACTTTCTGATGCTGAACTGATCTCTGCTGCAGAGACATGAGGCTGTGATGTGTCTGTTTCTGGCAGCGTCCACTGTTGGCAGATATTTCCATAAACACAATATAAAACTACTGCGTTAAGTAAAAGTTCTGCTGTCAAAATGTCACTTGAGTCAAAGTCCACAATTATTAGCTAATTTTACATGATGTTGTCAGTTAAATCTGTATCTATGTGTTGTGTGTAGGTAGGTACAGTTTTAATCTGCAGAGTAAGTGCATGTTTTATATCACATATTTACAATGAAGGACATGATCAGACCTTTTGAACCTGTTGCTCTGATCTGAGCTGGAATCAAAATCAGTTTCCAGGCAGCCGTCCAAAAACAGGATCATTGACCTTCTTTAACTGCAACTCTGTAGCTGAAGAAAGAGAAAGTGAAAACTGATGGCTCTTCATGTCTGGGCCTGTTTGTAATCAGATAATAAAATCAGAGGTGTGGAAGCAGCTCTGAGCTCATTCTTCCTCCATCCCCCACCTCTCAGTCTGAATCAGGATGTTTTCTTAACTTTTGGCAGGTACAATCTTGCTAACATGAGAACAGACTGCTGCTCTTTTATTCATCATGTTTCTGTATATTACAGAATTGAGAGTTCAGTTATTAGTTTTTACTGTTTCTGTCAGACTGAACTCACAATCAGACTGCAGACTTTATTTCTAAAGCATCATTCATGCAAAATACCAATAGGTGTGTTTTGTGTTGAAAAAAGTAATAATTACAGTGATAAGAGTCATTACAAAGTTATTAGGCAAGATAGAATAAAAAAAAAAAGTTCAAGACAATTCAACTTCAACAGGCGGGCGTGTGTGTGCATGAGGCAGCACTTCACCTCACTCTAACAGGGACACTTAATGTCTGCTGATGAAGGCATGTGCTCAGTCCTGGTACTCCTGGACCTTAGCGCTGCTTTTGACACCATTGATCACAACATCATGTTAGACAGACTGAGGCACGGGATCTCTGGTACTGGTTTTCATCCTACCTTTCAAATAGGAAGTTTTGCGTGTCTGTAAACAACTATGTCTTCTCGTTCTGTCCAGTTAAATATGGTGTGCCTCAGGGGTCGGTCTTAGGACCCATTTTGTTTTCCTTGTATCTGCTTCCCCTTGGACATATTATCCATAAACATGGTATTTCTTTTCATATTTATGCTGATGACACACAAATATACTTGCCCGTCAGATCCACAGACCCTGGAACGCTGAGTTCACTTAACAACTGCCTTTGTGAAGTTAAAAAATGGATGTCAAAAATTTCCTCCAGCTGAACTCAGATAAAAAAGAAATCCTGGTCATCGGGTCTCAGCAGATGGCAAATCAAATACTGCCATCTGCTGGTTGCTAGTAAATCACATTAAGCCTGTGGCAAAGAACCTTGGTGTTTGGTTTGATAGTAATTTAAATTTCGAGCAGCACACACAAAGCTTGTCAATCATGTTTTTATCAACTTAGAAATATAGCTAAAATTCGATCCATGTTAACTTTTAAGGACACCGAGACCATTTTACACACCTTCATCTCATCACGTCTGGATTATTGCAACAGCCTTTTCACCTGTTTAACCCAAAAATCTATTGATCGACTCCAGACTGTCCAGAACTCACCTGCCAGGCTTTTAACCAGAACAAAAAATATGACCACATTACTCCTATTTTAGCTTCATTACACTGGCTCCCAGTATGTTTTAGAATTGACTTTAAAATTCTATTGATCACTTTTAAAGCTCTTCATGGCCTCTCGCCTTGTTATATTTCTGACCTTTTAGTCACATACGCACCAGCACGTACCTTGAGATCCTCGGGCAGAGGTCTGCTGTCTGTTCCAGAGTCTCGACTGAAAACTAAAGGGGACAGAGCGTTTGCTGTCAGGGCCCCGAGGCTCTGGAACAGCCTGCCCGAGGAAATCAGGTCGGCTGAGTCAGTGAACTCTTTTAAGTGCCTTCTTAAAACATACTTTTATAGGAGAGCCTTTCCCGATCTTATTTTTATTTTATTGTATTTTACTAATTTTATATTAATTTGTATTTTAGTCTTTTCAATGTTTTCATGCTCTTATCTTGTTTTTTTGTATTATTCTTTACACTTGTTAAAGCACTTTGTAACTTGTTTTTGAAAGTGCTCTACAATAAGAATTATTATTATTATTATTACTTGCTACTGAACACAGACTGTTTCTGCTGCTCCCTGATAAAAGACATTTTTTCTGCAGATACCTGTTCAGAAAAAAGTTTTAACAAGCTAGATGAAAGGTAATGCCCTGACAGTGTTGAATAACTTTGGTTTTATATTTGATTACATTCAGTGCTTGAAGTGGGCTGGAACGATTGAAACAGGTGTTTCAACAAATAGCAACCAAGCGAGTTAGAGAAAATAAATAATTTGTATCAAAATAAAGCCAGGTTCCTTGCAATGAGAAGATTCCACTAATTTAGGCTCTCAGAATCAATCCAGTGATCATCTAAGATTTTTAAACAGTGTGTAGCCTACATTTATTCTGCAGAGACTAAACACACTTTAACACTTCACTAATGGAAAGTGAAAGTATTTCTGCAGCTTCAGGTCACACAGGCTGTTTTCCAACATGCCCATAGATGCAGTGTGCAGAACTGGAACTGAGTAACATTAGTAGAACAACCTGAAACAGAAAAGGTTTTTCCCTGATGTTGTAGATGTTTGAAGTTAATGCCCAAATTAACATTAGCTTGTTAAATCTACCTTCCTCTTTCCTCATCTCTCTCTGCCTCTCCTCAGATGCGTTCTGCCAACGTGTCTTTACTGTCATGTCAAACTAAAAGCTTTGCAGAGTCGAGTAATTGTGACTTCATGACATTTCATGAAAAAGCAGCAGCTGCGATCATTTTACAAAGTACACAGAGGAAACCCTGCTGAAGGGAACCTTGTTCCTGAGTCCTGGCATGAGAACGTGTTGTTTCCTTCTTAAAGCAGAAAGTCAGAGTTTGAAGCGCCTGATCAGCTCTGAGTTCAACAGCGGCTGAAACATTTGGGATTTAATCTTCATCATGGAGTCACATGAGAAATACTGCAGACTGTATCATGAGGGAGGAGACGAGTTTATCCTGCTGCTGCTCAAAGACACAAAGTTAAACCTGCTTTTAATTTACCCACAGAGCCTGAAATTGCCTGTGAGATGTTTTATAAAATAAAAAATAACCTGCAGGAACTGATCTGAAGTTTCTTGTTTACGTGGAGACGGACAGATGCAGTGAAACAGTTACATACATATATAAATATTTCTGACACAGTTCAGTTTCCCTCTCTGGATGTTTCCTGGTGTAACTCTCAGTTTGTGCTCTCAGCAGTGATAATGGAGCTCTTCTGTCATCCACAGGATTTTTCTGCAAACTGTTTCTACTTTTCTCCTCCTGTGAGTCGAAGGTCTATTGAACAAACAGAAGCTCCTGTGCTGCCCCCTGCTGGCTGTCTGACTGCATGTTTATATGGAGCTTTCACCCAGAGTGCTTTACAAAGTGCGTCTCATCACCTGATGTTCATATCATCAGTCAGTGATTGGCTAAGCTGCTTCACTGACTGCTAACAAACAGAACATCAGGAAGCTGCTGCAGCATTTCTCTAACAACCACACAATGATTATATTTAATGGCTCCCACATGTTACTAAGTGTGTTGAACATTTAAACAAATATTGGCTTGTTTTAAACTAACAGTAAACACATGTCCTGCAGCAACGTTGCCACCTGTCCCGGTTTTCCTGGGATTGTTCTCTTTTTTTGAGCGGCAGTACCAGAAAATTTCTATTCTTTCCCGGGACATGAATTGTCCCGTTTTTTGTGAAACTGTACTAAAGTAGAATTTCCTGGTTTCAAATTAAACCATTTCCTTCTACTGTAACTGTGTTTTCTTCTTGGACATGTACATCCAATCCTGTGTCCATAAACGTGTAAAAACGGGTAAAACAGTGGATTGGTCAATGACGTGTCTTTTATTTGATTGGTAGCAGAAATACAAAGCTCAACTTATCGCCTAGAAACTGCCCGTGCTGTCGTTCAGTCGCACGCATCCACACATCCAGGATAAAACAATGTGAGTTCAGTTTTTAACGAGTACGATTTAAAACCTACAACTCAGACTGGGTGAAAAGAGAAAGGCTCTCTGAATGGGTAAGGGCCACCCAAGGAGACCCGTTTTCCGCTACCTGTGTTTTGTGTCCTGCCAAAATTTCAGTTAAATATGAAGGAAAAAAGCAATGGAAAATCATGCAAAAACAAAGAAGCACCAGAGTTTTGCATTAAGCAAACGCAAAAATCTAGCCATTGCAACGTTTATGACAAAGAAAGGTTCACCAGAGGAAGACAAGACAGCAGTAGCAGAGCTTAGCAGTGTATACCACGGAGTGCTTCACGGCCACAGCTACTTATCTACAGATTGTGGTAATAAAGTAAGTGCGAAAATCTTTCATGACTCAAGTATTGCCACAAAAATGTCATGTGGAAGAACAAAAGGGAAAGCTTTAGCGTTTAGCTGCAGAACTGAAACATACCCAATATTTTTCTGTCTGCTCTGATGCATCAAACCCGGGGAGCGCCAAACTATATCCATACACAGTCCAAAGAAATTGTGGATATCACCGAAACAAATGGCTTGTGTACCAGCCAGATCAGTGCATATGGTGCTGACATTGTATCTGTAAATTTTGGCAAGCATAATTCTGTTTATCGAAAACTGAAAGTCAGTCCACACATCGTAAAAGGGCAACTGCAAATGCCACTTGATCCACAACACCCTGAAAAACAGCAGGTTATGATGTTGAATCCATTGTCCTAAAAATCTACAGCGAATTCTCATGCTCAGCCAAAAAAGTCGAATCTCTGAAAGAGCTTTGTGAGTTTACTTCAGTACAGTACAAAGAGATACTGATGCATGTTCCAACCCATTGGTTATCTCTATTGTCTTCAATTCAGTGGATCCTGGAGTGTTGGCCTGCCCTCAAGTGTTATTTTTTGTCACTGGGAAAGAAGGATTGTCCTGACATTATCTGGAAGGTTGTATGCAGAAGTGGTGCTGATGCTGCCAACAGCAATGATGAGGATGATGTGACTGTGTCTGAATGCTTCCTGTTGCTCATGCACAAT